GGCGATGGGACCAGTGGCCATGATCTTAGTTTTTTTGATGTTGAGTTTCAGGCCATTTTTTGCACTCTCCTCTTTCACCCTCATTACAAGGTTCTTTAATTCCTCCTCACTTTCTGCCATCAGTTTATGTTCATACTGTACTGCTTTTCATTCAGATAATTTTGTTTCTGTGAAAACAAAATATAATAAAATCAAATGTTAAAAATAATAAAACAATAGTGTTAACCAGTTTATTAAAGCCAGGGGATCTGACAGTGTTAACAAGCAGGAAGATAGTCAGGAAAACATCTGGGCATAGTTTTCTAATGTCAAGTTTCACTCCTTAGCAGTGTTAACTGCTATCATAGAAAGAGCACATACACATCATTTCTAGACTACAACAAATAATTTAACTAGCAAGAATTACATTACGTGGTGTGCTCTTTTGTGCTTTTCATCTGCAGTTCTTAAAGAATTCTGAGAATTGTAGCCCTAAAACCCAAACCAGCACACCTCTAAGCTTCATGCTCCTCTTCTCTGAGAAGGGCTTCTGAATGACTTACCTCTCTCCCCTCTGGCTTTCCTGTTGCTTCCTCTTGTTTTAAGATAAATAAATAAAAAGGGAGCTGTTGCAGTACTACATGGGAGTCATTGATCTTTGGGGTATGCCTTCTATACACACCTTAATGGGACAGAGAGACTGAAACTCCCAGGAGGCATTGTGGTGGCTTTCGTTTTAAAAACAAACCAATAGCAGGAAGCCAAAGGAAGATTGGAGAGCCAATGATGAAGATATGCTGAAAAGGCCCTTTATGGGAGGTATGAATGTGCTGATTTTAGGGTTTGGGGCTGCAGTTCCTGGAATTCTTGACAGATTCTGGGAATTGAAGTTCAGAAACCCAAAAGAGCACACCCTTAGCTATCTTGAGGGACGTGGTGGCACTGCGGGCTAAACCGTAGAAGCCTCTGTGCTGCAAGGTCAGAAGACCTGCAGTCCTAAGATCGAATCCACGTGGCGGAGTGAGCCCCCGTCGCTTGTCCCACCTCCCACCAACCTAGCAGTTTGAAAGCATGCAAAATGCAAGTAGATGAATAAATACCACAACAGTGGGAAGGTAATGGCGTTCTGCGTCTAGTCGCGCTGGCCACATGACCACAGAAGATTGTCTTCAGACAAACGCTAACTCTGTGGGTTGGAAACGGAGATGAGCACCGCCCCCAGAGTTGGACAAAACTGGACAAATTGTCAAGGGGAACCTTTACTTTTACATTTTAGCTATCTTGACTATTTTTTAAAGTGAAGCATAGTAGTCATATGGAAAGTGCCTTCTCTATTTATTTGAAAAATGTTTTTTCTTTATAGGTGGAAGAAACTGTGAATAGATCTCCCAGAAACAGAAAACCAAGAAAAGATTGAAATATCCTAAGAACTTGATCTGATTAATTTTCCCTCAACATGGTTTTGGGAGAGGACCTTGGATACCTTTTGCTGAAACACAAAAAAACCTCAAGATTCACCATCCACAGGTTCCTGTCAAATGCTCTCCTGTGTAAATGAGTGTTTAGCAGTCAAATATTGCAATTGTGTTTTTAAATAGAATATCCCTGTAGAAAGAGAATGCATTTAACACAACCCAGCTATGAATTTCTGGAATGTTATAAAAACTAACATTTTTCTTTGTTTTTAAATAGAGTGATAGACTTGCCAGTCTTAAAACCTTGGCTTGAAATTACTATAGCAATCTATCAGTGGAAATGAACAGCAACTCCTAGAAGAAATGCTAAGTATACAGTTTTTTTTAACAAACATGGACATTTATTCAACAACATTTGTTCCCTTAGTTTGATCATGTTAAACAAATGGTCAGTGCCATTGTATGGTGCTGATAGGATGAGTTTAAAATCCATTTAAAGAAATGTATTAACTTTATTTTTGTCTTATAAAAGGAACACCATAAAGAGGCCATGAAATAAATACATTGGTCATCGGTATTGCCCAGATGAAACAGTATTCACAATCAGTCGAAGTTGGGGAATGGATTCTCATTTAGGGTACTAAGACTGACACTGATCTTTCTTGTTGCTTTAGGCCTTAAATTCTTCTCAATTTGGAATTTGTTTTTGTATTTGAAGTTTTTTTTACAGTTTTTTCTGTGGTTTTTGAAACTTCCACCTTCTGCTGCTGCTATGCAGCTTGTTCAGAATGCAGCTTAGCTGCTACAGAATACATATGTTTAGCTCACTGTTAAGTCTGTTGTTGTTGGGTTTTTTTAATTGCAAAGATAGAACTACTTCTTTTTTGGGTCCAAACACTGTGGACAGGACAGTGTTACTAACTTTCTCATTGTTGCCATTGTATGTACCTTCATGCACTAAAATGAGATGCAGGCAAGGTGATCTAAAGACTTGCACCAAAATTAGATGTCAGTATTCATGGCTGAAAGGAGGGAACATGAAAACATACTGGGCATATGTAACATTTGGAATCTCAATCTGCTCTTTATGTATCAAACTCTATTGTGAATGTAGGGGGTTCCAGTTTCAGCTAAATAAATTTTTTTAAAACTGTGTTGCATTGAGTATATAGAGATTCAGAACTCCTTTTTAAGAGATACCAACCATTAGAGTGTATACCTTTAATGATAACATGTAATTCCTGATTATTTATTGTGGGAAGGAAAGAAGAACGAATACTTGGCCACTGGCTAATCTCTATTTAAAATATATGAGCAAAACTGCTGTACATGCACTGAATAGAAACACTCCAGTAACAGAGAGCATTTGCTACCTGCAAGTATAATTGTCCCTGTTCAGATTTGTGCCTGTAAAGGCACTATAGAACTTCTTCACTTGGTCAGTGCATCGCTTTTCCAAACTTGGCTAAAGGCATTTATGGATCATTTTGCTTTCAGAAACCAAAATATATACATCTTGTAAAACTTCCTTGGTGTCCTGATTTTTCCACAAGGGTCCTGCTGATATGTTCCTATTGGAAGCTACAGAGTTTGCAGCTATTGCTTAATTAGTTCTTGGTTGTTAAAATGGCAGATTAAAATGCAATCATCCATAGCTGCCTCTTACCTGTTCCCTACACATAGTTGATTTCACTTGGCGGTGGTAATTGAACACCTCAGTTTTTACTAATTTTAAAGTACTTGAGTTAATGCTGTCTATCTTGGAATAAGCTATTTTATTACTTCATTTCTCTGTGGGGCATGCGTTCTTTTTCTCCAGAATGCCTAGAGAAATGAACATCTGATTAACTTTTCAAATGGTGTTTATAAGGTGATGCTTAACATAAAACTGAAGGTTGGCATCTCTTCAGAATACTTTCCAGTTTGCATGTTCTAGCTTTTTTCATGTCAGTTTATTGCTTGAAATGTTCTTTGTAAATCTTCAGCCCAGTGTGTCATTGTGAGCCCATCATATTAAGGAAGATTTCACACTGGGAGAAAAGTGTCACATCTACTATTTTGGAGTACAGAAGTCAAATACTATGAAGCCAGTTGAGTTTCCAAGTGACAGGTGTTGTGACTTGGAGGATAATTTGTATTTTTTTTAATTTAAATTTGAAGAAAATATATTCTGTTGTGGAAAATCTTTTATGCTAACAAGGAAAAAAGAAAATGGGAAAGAAATACAATCCTAGACTGCACTAGTACCATATTAAGCCTTTAAGGAAAGTGTTTCTTCTAAGAAAGAGAATTTAAAGGTGAATAGAATGCTAGACTATTTGGTTTTTAATTTTCTGAAAATAAAAGTGCATTCCGGCAGTTTCAAATTCATCTGTGTTAGTGTGTTGAGTAAAAGATAACATGCTTTAAAGCAAGGTAATGCTTTTCAGTCAACAAGGTGTCTTCTGTAGTGTAAGTTTGCATACCTTTAAAATGCTGATGTAAAATGCAACGAGTCTCATGTTTAGATATACGTAATGGATAACCAATATCCTGAATTTTCAAAACTTGGCTCCACTTAATCTGTGGCAGTAAATATGGTGCTAAAAATAATTTCTTGGCACTTTTCTGCCTTCTTATCCACAACAGTTTTCTAAATGCCAGTATTGCCTCCATTCAGATGCAAACCCTTAAATATTGCTAAGCAAGACTGTGATTTTCTCACGGACATCCTGACTGTTATAAAATTAACAATAAATCTAAAGATGCATAGAAATATATTGTAGTTCGCACTCTCTCTCTATTTTTTCCTGTGGGCTTAGCTAATCAAAAGACAAAGGATACAGTAACTCCTAAAGGAAATTCAGGGACAAGAGAGCAGTCAGTTCTGTAAGAGTTGAACATCATACAAAATGTGCAAAAGTTAACGTTCTGCATTCTGTTTGAATGTACTACTGAATATGCTGTCAGTCCCAGTTACGTTTAAAATGCTGTATTTCATTTATTTCATGATTTATAGTTATATCCTTGATTTAACAAAGTTGGACAAATAAATTTCTCAAAAAGGAATTCATGTAAGCATAGAATTTGCAGAAGTCCTGGCCCTCAAAATATGTACTCTTAGCATATTCTATAACTCATACAAGTGTATAGAGCTTTTTAAGCTAAATCTGTTTTAGTACTGTATTAGGAATTCTGAACATGGCAGGAATTTTTAATTCTACAGACATTAACTGGTTACAGATAAAATTGCCTGGAAATTGTAGGGTCATACAAAGTATTAAATTTTAATAGTATCAACGTGAATACAATAATTGTATCTATATAGTTATGTGCATCCTGATTTAATGATACTTCAGAATACAGTGTAATCAGTGGCACTTAAAATTAGGCTAGTCATTGCTGTGTCTTAGTTTCACTAGATCTGTAAGTGATTAAGTCAGGATCCCACAATAATTAATAGAGATTTTATTTTTACATAAGACGTATTAAAGAAGTAGATTAAATTATAGAAGTGAGTGGCTTTTGTATATTCTGGCATATTACATGGTAAACTACCTTACTTCCTTCAAATCTGGAACATATCCCTGGCATGAAGGTCACATTGTGATGTGACTCATAATTTGTTTCTCATAATCTTAAAGCACACAGACTTGTTATTTATTTTGAATTCTTGGTGTGCCATTAGAAAAGAACGTTTCACCACTACAATTTGGGGGGGGGGGGAATTGCACATTTTAAAAGGTGAATTTTAATATAACTGTATTGAAAAAACCCTACATGGGAACTGTTCAAGTGCTACATATCTGTAACATATATTTTTGATGCCGCATAGGATTATGTTTGACAATAATTTCATTAATTTTGACCACATTTCACATCCATTATTTTGTGTACTTGGTCCAATGTTGGCATCTTTCAGTTCACTACAGAAACAAGCAGAATTTAGATTAGGATCAACAAGATCTCTGTATGATCTGCAGTAGATTGGCAAAACTTTCGCTGCTCATGAAAACAAATATTTTCCCCACATAAATTAGACTGCTATCCTCAAAAAATGTTCAGTGTTTCTTCCCTTCCCTAGCAAGCTGCTTCCTGCTTGGTGTTTTCTGCAAGCAGTAAAAATAAAATTGCCTGAGATTATCATGTTGGGGTATATTCTTTGGTACTGGCCCTGTTCCTGAAGGTGTCTGTATCATTCATAAAAAGGGTAATCTGCAGGTTATTCATTTCATTAATAAAATGGAGGTACGATTCTTCGCTTGCCCTATGGTGTTAATTTCCTTTTTTTTTTTCACTTCTGAACCTCTGGTGGAGAAGCGCTTTGCCCAGGTAGCTTTGATCCCCTTGTGTAGCAGAACTTGAATTGAACATTTAGTAGAATGAGTGGTTAGAGAAAAAAGTAAATAGATTATTGAGTGTCCCTCCCGTTTGTATCAAACAGGCCGTAGACAAGCGCTAAAGAGAACTCTACGCGAAGAGGATTTTTTAAAAAATAGCGATGTGATGCTTAAAAACCTCTGCTGTAGCTTATTTAAATCTTTGTTAATAGAGCAGGATGTCCTTCTTTCCCTGTGGTAACGTAGTGGAGGAGGATCCCCCTCCCTCTTAAAATGGCAGCCTTTTAATTGAAAGGCGTGCTTGGTTAAGTTTCACAGTGAATTTTGGCATCGCGCTTTCAAGGTTTGGTGTGGTTTCTTTAGTTTGTGACAACTCTTTCAAATGGAGAACATACCGCTAAAATAACCTTGATTTCATGTATTCTCTTCCCCCCCCCCCAAATCATATCACTACTCCACTACGCGAATACTCTTCTTAAACTCAATACGAGGAGAAATGAGCAGAGTGCCCCAGACGAGGACAGAGAAGTAGCACACAGTAGTCAGTCGGGTCGCCTCCCTACGAAGTTTCAGTAGCGAGCTTAGTAGCAAGAGCGTAGCGCCCCCTTTGTCAATCAGGAAGCCCCGCCCTTTATAGTCTTCCGGAAAAGTGGGGGAGGGGAAGAGAAAAATCCATTCCCCCCCACTGCTCTACTTTGCTCTCTCTTGTCCTCGTCTCTGATTGGCTCCGACCACTTGGGTCTTGACTCCTCCAACCAGTGCGTGTATCCGCCGTGACGTCACCCACCGCCTAGGAACATCCACCTCTGAACGGGGCTGACTCTTAAGTGGTCGGGGGAGGGGAAGGAAGGGAGGAAGGAAAGGGGGGGGGTAAAACAATTTCAAGATGGCGGCGGCTGAGGCGCGGGCAACAATGGGAAACGGGAGGCTCGGGTGGCTTTGGGCCTGAACTGGGGACGGAGAGAGGGAAGTGGTGGGGACGAGCGCGCCGGGCCTGACTGAGGAAACGGGGCCTGGCCGGGTCCGGCGAGGGGGGAGAGGGGCGCCCCCGCCAGGAAAGGTGGCTGCCCTAGGAGCGGCGGCGGCGGCAGCAGCAGCAGCAGCAGCAGAGGAGGCGGAGGAAGAAGGAGAGTTGGGACGGGGAAGTGGTGCCCGGTGCTGCGAGCGATGGCGGAATAAAGGGCCGCCTGCTCTGTTGTTCCTTCGGCGCGCCGCCCTCGGCTCATGGTTCTGCCCCCCTTCCCTATGGCGGAGTTCGCAGTTCCGCGGCACACCGCGGTGATGGAGCGGCTCCGCCGGCGGATCGAACTGTGCCGGCGGCATCACAGTGCCTGCGAGTCCCGCTACCAGGCCGTCTCGCCCGAGCGCCTCGAGCT